TGGAGCTCTGGAGAGGGCTGCGTCTTTAAAGTCTCCACAGCCCACGCTCAGCCTCTCCGAGTCTGACGCTGCTGCATGTTGACGTGAGAAAACTGAGCGTTTGTTCTCCACCAGGAGGCTTCGACCCCTTTTACTTGACCCCCCGTTTAGCCGCGGTGGAAATGTGCTGAATTTCAATATGCTCATTTGAAGGCGGCGTTGTTAATTATGAGCGAGGCTTTAATGCAGCGGGAGGGGGGAGGGAGCGAGGAGAGAGACGGAGGTTCTGGTGAATTAGGCAGGCGGTGGTGGGAACGTCTTTGCTCCCGTTAGAGCGGATCACCCCGCAGTCAATCCTGTGACCTGCACATCTAAACTCTGACTGCGCCCGTCCTGACTCATGTGGCCACATCACACACCAGCATACGCCGCCTGTCCACACCGGCTCTAACCAGAGCTGACGAAGCTCGGACACTTTACGCTCGTTAGCGCTCCAGAAGCGTCCTGGTGGGGCATGTATCTCATTAATATGATTCCCCGGGTTTAAATGTGGCTCAGGAACCTTTGTCGCATGTTGTCCCTGAATATTTCCTGCTTCTTGTCACTTTTAAGCTGCCTGATAAACACAAAAACGCCCCCCTCTTCTTCCTTTCAAAAAGAATCTGTGCTTCATCCGGTCTTGTTGCACATTCTGCCTTTCTCTTACTTCAGGGGACGAACCTGTGGAGTGACACCGTCGAGACTCCACTCTGTCTGCCAACTCCAACACAATTTCTTCCCCTCTCTGAAGCAATAAAACAAGCAGCTGAACTGACAAAACAGGAAAAAGACTCGATGAGCTGCGGCGTCCTCGCACGCATTTATAAAACCTGCGACAAAAATCTTATTCCCCTCAGCTGTCAGAACCGCAGGCTGAGCCGCCACAGCACTCAAGGACTACCGCAGTCCTGCCAACACACACAAACACACATCATACAGCGATGAAACACTCACCAGCAGAAGCGGTATCCATCACGTCCCATGCAGCAGCAGATATTCAGCAGGTATTCCTGGCATGGCTGCAGCAGCACAGAGTCCCTCTGTGTGTTTTATTTAAAGCGTGCAGCGCTGCATGTCAACATCCAGCAGCAGCAGCTGTCCTCCTGTTTTCCTCGAGTATCTCCAAGAACCGACGTCTTCTCTCTTTTCCTTTCCACAGCGACAGAGAGATGTGGAGAGAGGGGGGAGAGCCAGAGACACTGAGAGTGTGAGAGAGAGAGGGAGGAAGAGAGAGAGAGAGATCTGGAATTAAAAGGAGAGAGGGGAGAGAGACACTGAGAGTGAATGATAGGTTGTGTTTGTCATTCCTCCATCCTTCCTCTCCTCTGCTGTTGGAGAGGAGGTCATCCATCACTCTATCACACACACAGAAACACAGTATGAACACACACAAGTGCACACACGGACACATTCCAGTTCCCCAGAGACCGACCAATGAGTGTTCAGTTCTGGAGCTGGAGCTGAATCCAATTGGCTTAGCAAGCTGTCAGTCAGTCACGATCCCCTGTATCCTTACAGCTACGGGGAGGATGGGGGTGATGGGTGGTGGTGGGGGGTGTGGAGGGGGAAAAGGAGGAGGCATGAAAGAACAAGAGGCGTGAGAGGAAGAAAAGTACAAATCCAGTTAAACCAAGTAGGAGGCGGAAGAAGAAAAAGAGGATGAACAGGTAGAAGAGGAAACGATGAAGCCATGTGCATCTCCCTGGCAGGGGGCGTTAAAGGAAGTCAAAGAGCTCCAAATCTTATTTCGGAGATGCTGAGATTGGTGGAAATCCTACCCGAACCTGACGTGCATTGTTGATGTTTCAAACCAAAATAAAAAACTGATCTGAAATGGACCCGGATAGGATAATTAGACTAATCCATCCAACTTTGGACTGGCAGATGCTGATGGTGGTTACTGGGGTTACAGTCAGGGGCAACTAATAGGTTTGGTTGAAGATACCCAAAGACGTTTTGTTTCTCATGCAAAAGGCTTTAATATCAATATCAATTTTATTTATACAGCACACTTAAAACAACCAAGGTGCTTCACAGGTTAAATACAACAACAAGACACTACTCACACAGTAAAAGTACAGCAATAAAACATTATAATATACAGTATACAAGATATAGTGATATTAAAATTGCCAGGAATAATAACAGACTTAACTCGAAGGAAATGCCAAAGAAAAGAGATGTGTTTTTAACAGTGATTTAAAACGTTCGAGAGTCGGGGCGGTTCTGATGTGGACTGGCAGGTTGTTCCACAGGTTAGGGGCAGCTACACTAAAGGCTCGATCGCCTCTGGTTTTAAGTCTGCTTCTGGGTCCATCCAGGAGGAGGAGACTGGTGGATCTCAGCACTCTAGCTGCAGTATGAACGTGAAGAAGCTCCGTTAAGTACAATGGAACCAATCCATTAAGGCATTTAAAAGTTAAAAGTAAGATTTTAAAATCAATCCTGTAATGAACAGGTAGCCAGTGGAGGGAGCGCAACACAGGTGTGATGTGGTCCCTCTTCTTCTTTCCTGTCAGGAGGCGGGCAGCAGCATTTTGGACTAACTGCAGGCGCTGAATCGATGACTTGTCAAAGCCCACATATAAGGAGTTGCAGTAGTCAAGGCGGGAAGTTACGAAGGCATTAATCACCCTCTCTATATCTTTAGGAGGGAGATTCAACTGGAGAAAGCAGGATCTAACAGTGGCGGATATCTGTTTATCAAATTTAAACGCACTGTCCAATACAAGAGAGAAGGCTTATTCAGTTCTGACTGGTAGGAAATCCCAGCTATTGAATCTCTGTGGTGTCTCTGTGTTCAACCTCCTAGGCAGGAATGAAAGGACAGCACTATAAGTGATGTCTCAGCTCTCCTCCCCTGTTGGGAGATGGATTCTCTACTCTGGTGTCGATGCAGTGTTTCCTTTACACTGATTTATTTGAGGTGGCCCGCCACAATATCAACGCTGACCATCACATATAGATTTTGTTTTGTTTTTTACTATTGAAATGTAAACTGGTCGGCGCGGTGGTGCAGTGGTTACTGCTGTCGTCTCACAGCAAGAAGGTCGCAGGTTCAAACCCCGCTTGCCCCGGCCTTTCTGAGCAGAGTTTGCATGTTCTGCCCTGTACGCAGGATAAGCGGTTGATGATGGATGGAAATGATGAGCTGCTCGTTCGCTCATGCCCTCTCTCTCTCATTGTGAATAGCCCCTCCTCTTAGTGCACAATCTGAATTAAAACAAAATCATGCGCTGGAGGAAAGATTGTTTGTTGTTGTTTTCCGTGCAGAAAAGATCAATGAAAACTTTTGCATAAAGTTAACTCTGATAAGTTAGTCCATCGATGTTCTTAACACAACTCTGTCAATCTCAGAGACCCACCTTCAAATAAGTTATTAGCAAGCATGTAAGGAGCCTAGCTAATAAGCAGATCTATGTTAATGTTACAATACAGCCGCGTTGTCGAGGTTAGCGCGCTGGACATAGCTGGACTGCTCATGCAATATATCCACTGATGGCTTCTTTGAGTCTTCTTTCAAACTGTCCACCTGGACGAACCAGGCGGTATCCATCACCCTGACAACGACCTCACTGAGGTTAAATAGCTGGGTTTTCCCGTAAATCAGTCAGAACTGAAGAAGCCTCTTTGACGAGAGATGAAACGTATTCAAGGATCTTCAACCAAAAACCTGCTCTAGATATTAGCCCACCTTGGATAACTTAATATAAAGCAACGCGTAAAGATGACATTTTCGACTTGTGAAAAGATAAAGCTGGACCCACCGGGCTCACTGGTGCCTACCAGTACTGCATTGCTAAATAAACTGTAAAACCAAACTTACAGAACCTCTGGGTGTGAAGATGCTGCTCTGTATTATAATATGTAGAGCACTCTGGTGATGTTGTGTGTTGGTATCATAGTTGCCTTTTGTTTGGTGGTCTGATGATTGCTGTATGGCACACTATGAATTTCAGAAAGGACTAATAAATATCTAATAACCTCTCCACGCAGTTGTTACCACGGCTTCTGTGTCAACGGAAAATGGCACCGACTCCACACCCATGCAGAAAACGGCTAACATGAACACCATGTCAGAGTGAATAATGAATTTAAAAAGAAATCACCTCCTTTTAACCTCAGAAGGACATTCAACAGTCAGAAGGACCAGTGGAGACTCTTTCCTGGTCGTGGAACAGTGAACCAGCTCTTTACTTTTGCAAGGTTACCGGAGGGTTTATGCATGTTCCTGGTCACGGAGCTGCCGCTATGAGCTTTTTCATCCTTGTAGAACCGGCGTTGTACGAGCTGTATCTGTAATTTCAGCAATAAGTGAAGCACATTCTTGGTGGCTGTTTGCTTTTGCCTTGTCTTCACTTCTGTTTGAAGGAGGGTTGTTCAGTTAAGTGACCTCCTGATGCGTCTTTGCTTCTTGTCCAGGATGAAGTTCTCTTGGTTTTGTGTGAAGCAGTTGGGATGACAGTCAATACCTCCAAATGGGAGGCCATAGTACTCTGCCGGGATGCTGTGAATTACTGAATTACCCCCTTTGGGAAGGAATGAGTTATTGCCCCAAGTGGAGAGGTTCGCGTAAGTTATTGTACGATGGAGCCGGGGATCATCAGGCAGATGTTATAAAAGACTCTCAGAGCCCCTACTTCCTGCGGCTATGCTTTTCCAACAAATGTGTCATTTCTGATGCAAAATAGGATGAAATATCTGCATATTTTCAAACAAACTGTCATCAAGTCAAAATTGTTTTCTCAAGAACTGAGAAAAATAACCTTGATTTCTGCTTTTCCAACGTGCATTTGATCCAACTGTACTCAGACTATAGAGGAGTATCTAACCCTGAAACCCTGAACTCGATCTGACTGCATCTCCCTGAACAGAGCTGTTGCCACAGCTTACTATATCACGCTTGTATGGTTTTTATTTGGCTCTGTTTTCCTGTTTGGGTTTTATGCTCATTGCCTTATATATGTTTATTGTTCCCTCAGGTCCCCCAAGAATCCCCAGCAGAAGATCATCAAGCGGGTCATTGGCCTGGAGGGAGACTTCATCAGGTAGGAAGCAGCCCTCCTCCCTCCTGCAGCAACAACTTACTGACAATCTGACCGAGCCTCTCCAACTAACCCTGATAAACGAGTTAATATGTCTTACGCCACTTTTATATCACAGCTCTGTTTAATAAACTAAAGGTATCCTGAGGTTAATGTGAAACGGCATGAATCAGAAGGAACGCATCTGTCTCGCATCTAATCGTATCACTCTGCAGTCAAGAGGTTCACTCCATCACACTGATTTCTAATCAGATTAACTGGCATCACCTTGTAGCAAAAACAAATCACTGCTTGGTTCCCTGCACAAACACAAAACACCAACTAAAGGTAGAACAGGTTTTCAACTCTACTGTGGCGAAAACAGGGAAGCAACAAACAACCAGCAAACTAAACTTCTCCACCAGCCCATATGCAGCATTTCTTCTTGTTTTCTTGAACTTAACGCTATGAAAGGTATTTGCTTTATGAAACAAATATTACTCTAAACGGTAAAGGGCTTTAATTATATAAAACTTTTATCCAAGATGCTTCACGGTTTGCCTCTCATTCAATGGCAGTGAGGTAGCTACCATGAAAGGCAGCTGGCCTGACCATCAGCAGCAATTTGGGGTTCAGTGCCCGAGGACGCCCGCTTTACCCTCAATCTCTTTAATCTCTCTTACATTTAAAACAGTTGATGGAGTTGCTATCGGAGGTGAAGAATAGGGCTGGGGTGATTCTTCGACGTAATCAATTACGTAAATCCGTCAAAGCGTCGCTGCATCCGGCGTTGCATGGATTCCCCTGGACAAGCTCCAGCTACAAGACCGCGCCTTCGACCGTCTAAAGTCTGGGAGTTTAGGACAGACACTCAACAACATCGTGTTTACTTTCTGTCTCCACACAAGCACGCCACATTATCAGCACGAGGACACATAGTTCGTTAAAATGTAGTATTTTCTTAAAAGTATTTTCTTCATGGCCTTCATGTTAAAAGTAATTTCCGCCCTGCTGCTGTCATGGTAACGTAACGTTACACCGTGTGTCATCTGACGTTCGGCCGTTTCATACTTTCTGACTATTTAACGGCCACGTATGTGCGAGAAAACTGCTGATTCTAACATTACAGACGATCTGTGACTTTCTGCTCAGTCTGTCTGTGAGTGTTTTCTTTGCCCCACACTGATGCAGAAATACATTTGATTATCATACTGCATTTACTCAATATTGAAATAAATCCACGGCAGAAACATAAATTTGAAGTGAAGTAGCCTAATTAATGTCTGTTATTGTTATTATTATCACAAAACATCAGTGAATTGGAATTTGGATTGATTTTAAGATATGTTGTCATTATTCTAATGTGCTTCATTAGGATGATTGAATAAAATATTGATTCACATTTATTGATTATTATTTATAGAATACACAAAATTAATCTAAATAATCATTAGATTAATCGATTTGAAAAATAATCATTATTTACAGCCCTAGTGAAAAATACATTACTTTTACATCATTTTCAAAATCAAGCACCATCACTTTTTGACTGCAAGAATGTAATACCAGCTGTCATTCATTTCACAACCTCTTAATTCTCAGTTTTCAGGTCATTTTATCATCTTTTGCTGTAGCCTCAAAATTATTAATTAAAGCAGTCAAATTAATTTAGTACCAGTAGTCAAACTGAGAGCAAAGTAATCATTTGCAGTATATACTAAGGCGAGACACTACAGGTGAATAGGGGTAAATATTGAACTTAGATTAGATTTACACCATGAAACTTTCCTAGGGTATTACTTACATTGAGACAATATTTTTTTAGTTTTCTGAAATATTATGTTTAAAAATGCAAATGAGACAGTATCTAATAAAATAGGTTGCAAATTTGCATCTATTTCAAGAACAAAACTCTGAACACTGGATTAAGTCAGGTTCAAAGTTATTGTTTTATTTTGTGGACACATTATACTCAAATGTTTTTACAGAGGGGATATTGGATCTGTCTTTTTATTATTTCATAAATCTGAAAATACTGTCAACAGGCATAAAAAAAATATTTTCCAGCTGTTTTGGGGAATAAAATGTTCTATAATTCAGGCTATGAATGAGATATGAACAAACTGCTCTATAAAAACCTTCAGAATATAGTCAGGAAGACAACTGGAAAGTTTGGCGTAGGTTAGTGCCATTGAAGTGGAGATTTTAGGCTCAGAGTATGAAGGAAAAACATTTTTTTTCTTTAAGATAAGTATTGTACATTTCTTACTTCCTCTATGAATCACCTCAGGAGTAATTCTCTTGTGATACTACTGAGAAATTAAAGATAATATCATATCCATTTAAATTACATATATTTAGTCATTGATGTTTGAAAACTCAACTATTAACTTTGTTACTTGTATTTTTTTATTTTACCAGGGGAAAAAACCTTTCTTTTGTTTTGGCATCAATTGTCCTCCGTAGAACTCACAATATATACACTCCGTATCTTTTAAACATCTTTTGTTATACATTTATATAAAAACTTCCTCCACCTCTTGTGGCTGTCATAGTTTTCCATCGCACTAGTGACGATTATATCCTGCAGCGTCGACACGGTTGTTGGTTCTCTGTCAAGGTTTAGAGGATGTCAAAGTCACTGTGATGAGACAGTAAAGGAGACTTTCAGGCCAAGTGACAGCAAATCCTGTCCAGCAAATCACTGTGGCAGGTGTTTGATGGACAGGAGTCCCATCAGCTACATCCTTAAGCCACATTCATGCATCAGAAGCGTGTGTTTCCAGGTGTTGGGGAATTCTACTGCATTTAAGTAGTATAAAGTCTTATGTATCTCCAGAGGGAGCTGTGTGAAGTCTGATGATTGTCCTCAAGTTATGTCACTTAGTCAGCGTCGGGCAGTAGGGATATCGCTTCTCAGTACCTTTATGGTGTTACAGCACAGTATCGTGTAGAATCAAAACGTCGCCGATCCAACCAGTACTTCAGTCGAACTTTTTGTAACCAGATTGCAGCAAAAATGACTATTTGTATGGTTTTACTTTCAGCCAAACACACAAACAACACACCGAAAGAAAGAGAAGAGCAGGCGTTTTTTTCCCTTATGTGCCTGCACCATAAACTATATAAAAAAGGCCTGCACACGCTCAGTCCATGCGTGATTTTAACAGCCGCCCACCTGCGGTCTCAGGCGTGTGAGCCAGTATAAGACAGAATATAATTTATTTTAACTTAGAATCATGCAAAGCTGCCAAACAGGAGTCACTGAACTAAAATATAGGACTGGAAATCCAGTATAATCTTCTCTGTACATTTTTATTTGCTATTCATGTCACAGATCGCGGCGTTCCATCAGGAATCGCTTTTGTGGCGCAGCAGCGAATCAGCTGATATTACTCACAGAGCCTTCAGGTGTGGTTGGTTTGATCGGCTGGACGTGCGGCCTCTCTTTTCCTCTGTCTGTGAGTCTTTAGTGTAGTTAAGTCACTTTGCGACTCACCACTAAAGGAAAAAGCGCTCGCGGAGATCTTTCAATTCAGTTTAGTGATCGAAAGTTAACAAAATAATTTTCCGTTGTTCACTATCATAAAATTACCTTAAATTCATTTACCACAACTCATTTGGTCACTAAACTATTTCTGTCCTCTCTCATTCACATATAAAAAACTCCCAAGCTGCAGTTTTTCCCCGTATAATACTACCCGTGAGGACGACCTAATCAGGATGAGGAGGATCTGCCACAATACTTTTATGTAATAAAAATAAAAATAAAAATAATAATAGGCTACCGATCAACTACTGTGGCTTCGACAGGTGGCATTTTATGCAAGGTATCCCATGAAGAACTCTGTTGGTATCTGTATCACTTTAAGGGAACTGGTTTTGGTACTAGTATTGTAAAAGTTTAAATGATACCCAACTGTCTGTGGTTGCGTTGCGTTGTGGGTAATGTAGGTGCCAGAGTTTGAAATTAAAAAGATGATATTGGAGTCTGTGTTATAGGAGTGTGATTCTACATCAATGCAGTGCTCTTTCAAATAAATACTTTAGTAATATAGTGATCCAGGAAGCTGGCACAACCTGCTGAGACTTCTCTCAACAGAACTTTGTACACACTTTTTTGTTTTTAAGGTGACTTTCACCAGTTGCCGTCTAAGAGATGCGTGACTTTGTCCCATTAATAACGGTGGTTCCTCTGCATGGCTGAACGAACAGCCTCCCACTGAGGGCAAAAGCAGATTTGAAGTGGCCAGTCACAGCCGGCACCGTGTGTCTCGTGTTTGCCAGATGGTTGAACAAATTACAAAAAGGATTTTGGTGCAGCACACCATGAAACCAACATGTCAAACAGCTGAGAGCGCTGTGGCGGTTTTCGTCTTTTGTGCTCTCAAACTGAGGACAACTTTGGTGCAGCCCGACTCTGAAACACGGAGAGAATTACAACAAAGGAATCTTAGGAAATTCAAACTCACTGTCACCACAGTCGCCACAAATGAGACACACAGGGTGGTCATACGGTGAAAACTCAGTCACCCTAACTAAAGGCCAGATGAGTGTTTTTTGTTTTGTTTTTTACCATTTATAGAGTTTGAGGTGGAAGAGGAAAATCAGCATTTTGTGTGTTTCTCAGCTGGTTTATAAGCAGTGGCAGGTTGGCGATTACAATTTACCCTATTTAAAATGTAATAGTAGTGTAACTATTCAAAGTAATGTAACTTACATTAATACATTTTTTTATTACTTTTCTATATTTCTAATGAATGTTTTCCACTGTTAACCCTTTTCTACAGACAGCTTGAGAGGCAGTTTAACTGGCAGACAGACGGTGCTGCAAATTCAAACATAAATGAATTGAGCTCAGTGATACTAATACTTCATATCTAAATAAAAACCCGGACAAAACTGGACCTTGCTTGGAGAAAACAAAGCAAGGAAGTTGAACTACCTGGTGAGTTTATAAACTGTTACTTGATTCCAGCTATCGTTGTACTTCACTGTGAACAAGTTAGCACGGCCCTGATCAT